TAAGACCCGCTCGACCATATTGCATAATCACGATTGTCCAAGTATCTGGAGTTATGATGCAACCTCTTCTTCTCATTTCATAGAAAAGACTTCTCATGTGCTTGAAATCTTTCCCAATCCCGGCGAGTTTCATAGCCATGTTGTAAGTTTCTGTAGTATGGTTATAACCTGGTTGCTTTCCTACCCAAGCAAAAAAATGTAGTGCTGCACAACCTTCGATACTACATTTACGCAATATCTCAAGGACTAGTTCTGGGGTGAACACCACTCTGCTGTTTTCCAATGCTTTCTTAATTTGATTCCCATCTGTTGAAGATGACAGGATCTTGTAAATTTCATCAAGATCCTCTTCTCTGTAGTTTCTTGAAAGTGTCTCCACGTGACATGCAATACTCGTCGGTTGGCTCGGTTCCGAATGCTTAAAGTTCACCTCCAAACAAAGGTCCTTTATCTTGGGTGCATCATCACCTCTATTTACCTCAACTTCTTGCGGAAAGTGTTCAGCAATACTCCTCAGTCTCTTTACTTTCTCTAAACTAACAATATCTCCCCTTTTCTCCATGTAAGACACAACTGAATGAAATAATCTTTCGGGGACAGCGATATTCGAGGCCTGCATCTCATTTAGAACCTTGACTATCTCATCTGTTCTTGAAACCTTAAAAAGCTCCCTGATGAAGACAGAAAAGGATTTCCAAGTAGGCTTGTCTTCCATGGTTCTGAAAACTTTCCATGCTTCAGATATAAGGTTTTGGCGCACATTGCCGACAACCACGGTCATGATTGCCACTGCATCTAATTCAATCCTTTTTTCCAGCATCTCTTTATACAGCTCAAAGCCTTTCTCATACTCAGCCAACCTAAAGAGATGTTGCATCAGTTGGGTATAAGTTGAAGTAGTAGGCAAATACCCAATTTCTTTCATATTGTGAAACAGATCAAGAGCCTTCAAAACCTCATTTCGCCTCAAATACCAATTAATGATAATCCCATAAACCTTACCATCAACAACATTTTTCCTCTTCATGATATCGACAAGTTCCAAAGCATCCTCCACCCGATTAGCGCGACAGAGTCCAGCAAACAGAATCTCAAAATATTCAGGGTCTAGAATCATACCTTTACTATTGAGGGCATGAATGAACTCCAGAGCTTCTTTCACCCTCCTGGAAATGCAGAAACTCTTGAGAATGTAATGATAAACATCATGTTCCGAAACCTTAAACAATGCTACCATGTCCTTTGCAATCTCAAGAACAGAGGCTGTATCCCCTGATGCAGCAAGAGAACTCAACAGAACCTTACACATTTTCATGTCAAAAACCCCAATTCCTTTCTTGGCCATCTCTTGGTAAAACTCCATGGCAAGTTCAGGCTTCCCAGCAGCAGAGAGAGAACAGATTAAAGTCTTGTAAACAACCCCATCTGGTTCACATCCACTTTCCTTCATCTTACCATAAACCATTAAGGCTTTTCCTGTTAATTTTGCATTGCCATAGAGGGAGATAAGAATGGTCCAAGTCTTGATATCCTTCTCCAAGGAGTTGTTCTCCATTTCCTCCACCAACTTCTCAATGAGCTTGAAATCTTTGGCTTCACCAGAAATGGTAAGCATTGTGTTGAAAATACTGGTTGTGCACTGAAACCCATCTCTAGATTTCACCCAATTGAAGAATCCAAGAGCCAAATGTGGGAACTTAAAACTCCTCTTCAGGACTTTCTCCACAACCTCAGAACTGAACATGACATCCAAACTTCCCAATCTCTCCTCCATCGAAACCAAACCACTTTCAGCACGAATGACGGATGAAACCTCATGAACAGTCGCGCTAACATCATTTTCTTCCGAGAAAACCAACTGGGTACCCTCAGTTTCTTGCTCGGCATTTTTACAAACATCTGGGGCGCAGTGTAGCTGTTCTTCCCCTTTCAAAGAGTCCCCCTCGCCACCTTTTTCCAACCCCAGATTACGAAAAGACGTTTTATCATGAACATAGCTTTCGGAACCCAAAATCTGAGTAATCTCGTTGAAGAGCGACCTGAAGCTTGAAGTATCAGCCGTTTCCGGGGACTGGATTTTTTGGGTTTCACCTGAACGAGAGGAATTTCTGCGTTTTCTAACAAGGGTCGAGAAACGAAGAATCTGTAGCTCTGAAAGCTGAAAGCGAAGAAAATTCAGAGTTGAATTCAAATTGGAAGATTGGAAGCGGATTAATCTCCGCATGGTTACGGGGAAAAGATGATTCCGAATCCATCTCCGGTGAACTAATGAAAATTCGTTGTTATTAATAATTATTATAATTTAAATCAATAAAAATTCATTTATTTGACAAAATTGGCGCTCGTGGCCTAATGGATAAGGCGTCTGACTTCTAATCAGACGATTGTGGGTTCGAATCCCACCGAGCGTGCACAATTTTTTATTTGTTTTTATATATTTAAAAAAAAACAAATTACAAATTTAACAAAAATTCAATGTACTTTTTCTTAATATTATTATATTATAAATGTAGGGTAAGATATTTCAATTTATAAATTACTTTCAGTAAAAATGAAAGTATGTACAAATTACTCAAGTAAATAAATATGTATGTACAATACTTTTTTTCTTTATCAAAATTAAAAAATTGTTTTAATAAGAGTTATTGTCTCTCGTAGTATGCTTTACAAGTTGCAGGCATCTTACAGTGACAAAAGAATTTAAGTAATGAGTATCATAAAACTTTCATGTGGTGTAATATTATTGATCTTTTCATTATTATTTAGGAACTAAATTTGAATATATATATATGAGAAGACAAAAAAAATAAAAAGGTAAATATAAGAGTCAAAACATTAAAAGTCAAACTTCCTTCTATTCAAAAAGGCGAGCTGTCAGTTCATGCACGCTTTCACCACCCATCGTACATCTTCAGGCTGTGCTAACGCCTTTACGCCGTCGACGATAATACTCTAATTAATAAGGGACCAAAATCTCGATCGAGAAAAGCTTCTTCCGTTTTCTGTCTGTCTTCATCGGCCATCTTGATCTGGTTATAAGGCAAAAAGAAAGATCTCGAATACGACGGTTTTTCAGGCGTATAGAGAAAAACTTTTTAAAATTAGAATATCTAATTTGTAGGTTCAAATATGATGCTATCAATTTTACATTCTTTTAGCATAGACTGGAGATTCGAAGTCATTATTTTTAATTGAAATTATACTCTAGAGCTAGCGAAAGTGAGCATAATTAAAAGATAATTGACATATATCTCCAATCAAAAAGTTTGACTTTCATCCACTAGATCCAGATGCTGTATTAAAAAAAAAATTGGGCTATACTTAATTTCAAAAATAAATATTAACATTTAACAGATTTTTATTCAACATTTTCATAAAATTATGACGTGGCAAAATTGGGCCCCACTCTCTTAGCCGTGGTGCTCAAGCAATAAACGAGACCGTAAAATCAAGAATCTCGCAGAGAGAAGGTTCGCGATTTCGACTACACAAAATGGGATGGGTTTGGAGAGACGAGCCCGGCGAATCGGATTTACTCGCCGGCGACAGCGGTGGGTCGTCCGGCGATCGATGTTCTACCAGAAAGGTGGTGAAGTCGCAGTGCAGGACCGAGGAGGTTGAGCCCGGAAAGTTCGTCAGGAAGTGCGAGAGAACCGAGGAGATTCTCAGGGACTGCGTCGGACGGTATGTGCTCCTCCGTCTCTCCGATTTGTGTTGTCGTGTCGCAATTTCTTCTAACCTAACAATGTTATCTTTCGATTTAAGAACTGTATTTTCTTCGGTGGAGTGAAGAAATGAAAATTAGTTCATTCTGCTTTGTTATTGGAGAAAAGAATTGAACTTAGGTTTCATTTCTGTGTTAGTTTTGTTGATTTGGAATCAAATGGGTGCCTTCCGCAGTTCCACATGGTCATTCATAAATTTGTTTTCTTTGTAGTGTATGGATATACATAGTTGTAAATTTAGATGTACTTTGTGAAAGACTTATTCTCTTGCGACCTGTTCAGTGAACTTCTGTCTAATTCGTGGAACCACGGAGCCATTTGAGGGTTTAATTTTTTATTTTTTTTTGGCCGTAAATGGTTGTTTTAATGGAATCTTGGAGGGATGGACACTGAAATTGGTAGATGCTAGGCTTACCGTTCTATTGAAGGTGAGTGATGATATTTCTTGGGCTATTTCTATTGAAGCCTGAAGGCGAGTGATTAAATAACAACTTACTTTTATTGCTATTTCACAAACTCTCACCATTTTGTCTAGTCCACATTCATTTTCACTTTGGGATTCCTTCCATTCATCCTTCTTCCAAATGATGGAAATTAATTAAACGAAAAACCTAGATATTTTCAAATGAACCAAATGAATTAAAATCTTGCACCGATTTAACATTAAATCTTAACAATCATCAAAGTTTCTCTACTAGTGCTAGCTCATATTTTTAAAGCTCATCATCAAAAGGAATATGAAAATTTTACAGTGTCCCACAAAGGGGCCCAAAATTTTTTTCATTTTTTTAGCCACTCTGGTTTAACATTTATTTCTCTTGAAGTTTAGGGATCTCCATATTTTGGGAAAAGAAGAATTAGAGGGAGAAAAGGATGAAAGAAAGAAGAGAAGGAGAGGATAAAGATAAGGATAACTGGTTTAGGTGGAGAAGGAGAATGAGTGAGATGAAGGGCCATATGAAATTAGAGGGTTGAAGTGTGTTCCTTCAATCCATTGTTAATTGAGGCACAACTTCTACACAATTAGGGTCAGAGAATATAGTTAAGATCATTGAATATACCTTAGACTACGACTCCTTCGATTTACAATCTCATTGGGGTTTGTGATATAGAAAGGAAAATTTATGTTATCTGGACAAAAATTTATGAAGATGACTGAGGAAAGTATTTCCTGGACTGCGGTTCTGCTGGCCGGATGTTTGATGGTTGAATGACATGATTGTCAATTATTGGGTAGTGCCTTGAGCCTCACCAAATAGAATTTGTACATCCATAAATTGAAAAAAATATTGATCTGTAGAATTTGGCTTGAATCCGTAGGCAGTGGATGACCATTACAAATGAAAAGGGAAGTTTTTGGAAATAGGTTTTCTGAGGCTGTCTAAAGGAAGCTACAATTCTAGGTGCAAAGTTATGATTTCTGACATGTAGGCTTAAGAGTCCTTTTCTCTGCTGTGTATAAGTTCCTAACTGTTGAATGTATATGGTCAATGTTGATTTTCTTTGTAGTTCATTAGGAAGTCATTGTTTCTTCTCCTTTATGGTTTTTTTTTTTTTTAAGAGGAAAAATGAACTGTGAATATCTAGAGAAATTTAAGGTGCCAATTTGTAAGCGTGAATCCTGTTAACCATTGGATAAATTTTGGTCTTAAGCTGCCAACTCTTCCTAGTATAGCCATCAATCGGTTGGATTGCCATTCCATTATCTGTTTTGGGCCTTCTCCACGTACAAGATGTGCTTCAGCCTGTTTACTTTTAGCATAATTATGGATCTTGTTTATAATGATAATTATATATCTCATGATCAAGGATAATTGTGTTTGCGTGTCTTTGTGTGTGTGTGTGTGTTTTTTGCTTATTTTAGCTCATGAAGGAAATTCACATGTTCGTTTCATTAGGGTTTTTTCCTTGTGGGATAAAATCCTATCATGGTTTCTGTTACTTTTTTGATTTTGTAACACTCTTACGCTCATTTGTTATTTTTCTTAATTTTGATGTTGCTGGTAATACTTATTTATTATTTTTGCTAAAAATAAAACTTTGTTTACTCACGACAAAGATTTGTTACATTGAAGTTACTTCAATTGCACGGAAACGGGATGATGGTGCTGGGCAGTTTGGTTTCAAACTCTAGTTGGAAATTTATAATCCTTTTCTCACAAATAATTTAAGTCGCAGAAACTGCCGTTTTTAAAGCAAAAATTCAAGGAATTTAATTTTTTTTATTATCATGCTAGGTTTGATGTTGGGTTCTAGTTGGAGAGGATATAGTCACACTCTTTGTAACGTCTAGTAACCTGAGTAATCTAAACCTTCAAAAGCTTTAGAGACCAATAATAATATATACTTTTTGAAATGGAATGATTGATGGAGACTTGGGGTCTGGCAATGCAGATACCAGCAGAAAGCCTTCAAGTTCCATTTATAGTAAGGGGATGATGTAATATAATGTAATGGAGCTTAGAGAGGGGAAATCCTCTTCATGCTACTTTGGCCCGTTTGGCACCATCTTTGGGTGTCTCTAGTCTTAGGATTCAGTTTTTGGATTGAGCCATGTTCTTTTGCGCTTTCTTGTGTTGTGAAATTTTTCACATAAAAGCTTAATTTCCGGGTCACCGTGGTGCGATTGATAGAACTCAAAGTGTAATTCATATATAAACGAAGTGCTAGCATGGAAGTAAGTGCTCTCTCAGCCCCTCCAGTCTATCGAAACTGCGAGGAACTTGCTACTCCCTCTAGAGTTACCCATCTTCCTTCGTTTAAAAACTATTTGCTTCTAGTTAGCTACTCAAGTGTACTGACTGCTTCCCTCCATTTAGAGCCTTTACATTTCTGAGCCGAGGAGGGGACTATCAATGATATGACTAAATAACAGTTGCTTCATTTCTGTACAGACCGGTTGAAGTGATACAATCCAACAAGGAATTTACAGAAGAGGATGTTATAGATCAGGTGGTCAATAGGTCATTCTCGTCAGGAACATCCGTACATCAACCATTTGGTTTCCCTGGGCTCCGTAGTGACATCGAAGCCATCGAGCGCAATCTCTTCGGTAGCATGAAGGGGTTCTTTGAAGCAGCTGAAGAGATCAAGAATGGTTTCTTTGGTGTTCTTAGAGATCCACACCAATTCATCGAAGAGTCATCCTCCCCATCAATGAGACGAGGAATACCCATCGAGGATCACGAGCAAAGGATCTTCTCTAAACCCAACGAGCCCGATTCTGGGCACGTTGACCTATCAGGATTGGCCAGGGATGTCTAAACACCCAAAATGAACCTGATTGCCTTTTTTTAGATGTTGGATACAACAGGGACAGTTGGTAGTCAATAGAATAAACATGTTCTACAGCAAGTTTGCTCTGATAAATTTACTAAAGTTGGTTGATTATGTGTGGGAATATAACTTGGATAGTGCATATAGTTGTTGGTGTTGAGAACCAAGCAAGTAATTAGTTTTAAAAAGCTATGCTTTTTCTAATGCCATAAAGTTGAAGGGAAGAATCTTTTAAAACATTCACACCTGCAGATGGTCATTGACCTAGTATACATGTTGAATTAGATAATGATAGATAGTACCCATTTAATCCATAAATCTGGTCTATTTTATCAAAGTGTTGTATTCCATGTAATATTTAGATTTAGAAAAGGTGAAAATTAGCGGATATTAAAAAATATATAAAAACAAACCAAAAGAAAAAAAAAACTATATAGAAATCATGGAAATTTATAGGACTACATGACTCGTGGTTAAAAAAGTTGTCGAACTTTTTAGGCGTAAATATTTTTGAAGTTGTAATTTTGTGTTTAATAAAGACAATTTTTATAATTTATATACTTATTAGACACAAAATTTAAAGTTTATGAAGTTTATTAGACATTTTTTAAAATTTTAGAGATTTGTTAAATACAATATTGAAAGTCTACGGACCTTTTAGACACAACCATAAAACTTCAAGACTCAAACTTCTAATTTAACCTTGAATTAACAAAGGATAATTTAACACTTCTTGAAAAAGCTATAGATTATCATTATTAATATTAATATTACCAAATTCGATGAAGAAATGTTTGCAGCAGCACCCTGGAAAGATAAAGGACTGCAGCGAATGCTTGTGAAAAGGCATTTAGGCATTTAAAACTAATAGTAAGATCAAAATTGCAATGGAAAATTGAAAGTTTACATGGAAATATGTTGGGATGAAAGTTCACCCGATCTGCTGCAGCGAATGTTTGTTAAAAGACCTTAGAAACTAATCGTATGGTCAAAATTGCAATAGAAAAATGAAAGTCTACCTAGAAATATGTCGAATGATTTGGTATTAGTTAAAAGAAAGATCCACTATTTCTTTAACAAAGAAGTGGCTCACCACTTTGATTGACCAAAATCCAAAGCACTATAATTGTGGAAATTTCATCCAAAAACTTGATTTGGTCCACAAAATGACTTGCACGTTTGTCTTTAATTCAAGTCTTCATATTTTAGCTATTCAATTCCACACACACAAACAATATAGAAAGACAGAGACCTTTGTTCTAGCCAATCAATTTCATATCCCTAAGAAAAAGAGAAGATATTGGCATTGCCTTCCTAAGTTGACTTACAAATTGCACATCATTTTAATTCAAAATGTATCTTATAAAAAAATCCAAATCTAAATGCATCTTTCTAGCGGGGAGAAGTCAATTTGATCTTAGCTCAGGTTTAAGGTTCGATTAAAAAAAAATCTCTCTTTACTTGTACTTAGGTGGTTAATCAAATTTAAATTTAATTTAAATTTCTTTTAAGAACATCACAACAAAGCATGTAGCGATTTTGCACGAGAAGCATGTCTCCGTGCAATTTGAGCTGAAATAGATTCCATACTTACCTCTCGAAGCTGCAACGAGTTAGCACGTACTCTCGCCTATCGTACACGAAGCGAGCTTCACATTGAATTCCAGTTGGAGGAGTGCCCCTTGCGCATCTACTTTTCTTTTATTTTATCGTGTTTTAAATGTACTAAAAAAAACTATTGGAGCAGGGATTGGAATCTATGACTTTATAAAAAGTAAGATAACTTTGGCCTCGTTTGATAACCATTCATCTTTTGTTTATAGTTTTTTGAAAATTAAGTTTGTTGGCTCACAATTCCCTTTATATTTTTCCAACTTTCTTATGAATACATTACATTCCTAACGAAATCTCAAAAGCTAAAACAAGTTTGTATAAACTATTTGTTTTAATTTTCAAAATATATATTTTGAAAACATTTTTAAAAAGTAGAAATATTTAGGTGAATGTAGTGATTACCAACTTAATTAATTTCAAAAAAACAAAGTAGTTACAAAACAAAACCTTAACTAAAGCTATAGTTTTTTATTTCATCAAATGAACTCTAAATTTAAATTAATGGTATGGTAAAAACTAATACTCATCATTAATTAACTTTTCCATTTTTTAAAAATATTTATGACTAAATGAGACCATTAATGTAGGTTACCTTTTTCTTAATCTCGTTAATATTAATGAAAATAAAACGTGAAAAAAAAACCAAATGAATTGATTATTTATTATTATTATTTTTTGGGTTGTTGTCAATTGCAACGTTTTGGAGTTGATCGAGTCTTTGTTAACTTTAAGTCTAGTCTTCCACATAATACAAAATTTATAGAAATTTCACTAAATAGACTTCATAAACTAATCGTCACTATTTTTCAAAATAAAAAAAATATATCCATGTCACTAAATTCAAATCAAAATTTATATTCAATAATATATAAAACAATATATGTTTAGACATACCAAAAAAAAGAAAAAAAAAATATATATATATATATATAATATTTCTTATTTTTACACAGATAGAAAATTTCTTTTATGTGCTTGGTTCAAATCTACAATGTGTGACAAAAAATGACAAGAATCAATTTTAATAAATAGAAAAAATTATTGGACAGAGAGTTCAATCCTATTGTGGTCTCAATTTTCATTTGTTCCGAGTGAGGTCCGTTGGGTAACGTTTTTTATTTATTGTTTTTTGTTTATTGTTATTTTTTTAATAAATGATTTGGTAACTACTTTTTATTTGCTAGCTTGAACATAGCTCAACTAGTCAAGACGTCTATTTCCGACTAAAAAGTTATGAGTTCAAATTCTTATCCGTACATATTGTACTAAAAGAAAGTTATTTGATGTTTATCATTATCTTTTTATTGGAAAAAGAAATAAAAATATATTTGATCATCATTTCTTATTTCTCATCTTCAAAATTTTACCTTTCTTTATATGTTATAAGAGATTTGATTTTGTTAATATTTATTATGCATTTTATAAGTCAATAATGATAGAATAAAACTTTTATTTATGTTTTGAAAAAAAGAATTGAAATGGTGAACAAGAAATAAGAAATTTGATTTGCTGTTTTCAAAATTTATACAATATTTTTCAAAAATAAAAACACAAATACATATCAAGTACTTGTGTTTATTAGAAATTGGAAATCGGAGACCAGAAATGAAAATGTTATAAAAACTTTCAAATGTCTTATTTTAATTTTTGCTACATGAATAATTGAAAATAACCAGAAATTCAAAATAGATTTTCATGCAAAAGTTTAGAAACTCCAACCAAATCATCCGAAAACTAAAATATTAATATACAATTTGTGAAACTCGAGGACTAAAATGAAATACTATAAAAAAAAAAATTCTTAGAAGTATAAATTTATGGCTTAGTTTAATTGAATATTATATTATCCAGAAATGAAGAAAAATAATAAGTCTAAAGAGAGAGTTGCCGGCAGGCAGCGGGGAGAATTCTGCTCTCGATTTTGGTTGATTATGATATTTTTATATTTTTAATTTTTTTAATTATAGTTTATGTGTTTATTTTGGTTCCTAGATTTAAAAAAAAATTCTAATCATTTCATTTACGCATTAAATTTTTTGAAATGTATCCAATAGATTTGTATTACAATGTTTTCAATGTGTATAATTTTGTGTTAAAATTTTTTAAATAAAAATTAAAATAGTCACTTTTTAAAAAGAGATCAAAACGATTATTTTAAAAGTATGAAAACTGAAATGAACAAAATAACTAAAATAAATATTGAAAGTATGGAAACTGAAATGAATAAAAATTTAAGAGTCAAATGACTAAAATAAATATTTTAAGAGTATATGGATCAAATAGCATTTAATTTTTTTAAAAAATGATACCTTAAAAATCTATGTACTATACTAGTTTATACTTGTTGGTCGAATCCTCTGTGGAGAATTCTTTTCTTATGCATTTTTTTTTAAATAAAAAAGTTCAAACATATATTTATAGAAGCAAGGCAATGGAAGGAAAATAATATATACATTTCGGGTTTTTAGATTTTGTATTTTTATTAAAATTATCACCACTTTCTCTCCATCGAGTATCTACGTCATATTTGAATTATTTCTTGTTACTATTTAATTAGAAAAATTCTCAATTTAGCATAAGTAGATAAAATACCTATCTTATTGGTTCAAATTTTTTTTAAAGTTAAAAAGTTGAAATTAAAAATCATTAAAATTAAAAAGTAAAGAAGAAAAATTATATTTAGTCAAAAAAACATCATCAAAATAGATAAAAAAAAGATCATAGCCGTCCACCTAGAATCCAACGATGGACAGGCTGCAAAATCTTAACGCGTTTTGATTTTTTAATTTCTTTTAATATTTCGAAATTCAAACATAACAGAAAAACCGGTAAAGCCCTTTCTCTCTCTTCTCTCTCTCTGCTTCGCTTTCCTTTCAATTTCTCTTCCATTTTTTCATTTGGATTCTCCAATGAATTTACATTCTCTGGGGAAATACCCGCAAAATCAAACCCTTAATTTTCTCCTTACAAAAATTCTTCTTCTTCTTTTTCTGCCAAATTTTGCTCTTCCCCTGCTTTTACCCGATCAAACTGCTGATATTTTGTATGGAATTCGTCAATTTAACCAGTCTTCATTGTTGGGTATCGTTGAAATTTCTGTTTTGATTAGAAAATTTCAGTGGGGTAGGGTTTGAAATTGGTGGGATTGAGTTGAATTTATGTGGGGTTTTCTTCTGCGTTTTTTCATTTTCAGCGATTGGAAGATTCATTGCCCTATGGGGATTTTGTTTGCTCTGTTTTCCTGTTCTTCTTCTCGGGTGTTCATGCGCAAGTTCTAGGGCATAATCTCTCGTTTTTTTTTCTTTTTACCGTAATATTGATTGTTGATTCTGATTCTGTAACCCTAGTTTGGGGGAAAACGCCATGGATGACGGATTTAGGCGTTTTTGCGATGTTTGTTCTTTGAGATTTTAGGAAGGAAAATCGAGTAACATCGTGTTGTTCAGATGGGTAATAACTGCGTTTCGAGAAATTCGAAGGATGGGATTCTCTACTCCATTTCACATTCAATTTGGTGGTCTCGACCGAATGTGGGTGCTAATACTAAAAAAGGGATTTCTAAGAAGGCGGCCAAAAACCCAAAATCCAATGAAATAATAGTTCAAAGCACTCCCCCAATACCGGTGAAGATTGTCGATGAGAGGCCCAAACCGTTAGAATGGGAGGCTAAACCAGTGGAAGTTGTAAAAGCCAATGAAGATATCGTCATCATCAAACCCTTGGAACCTCTGGTGACCACGGAAGAAGTGATCAAACCAGCTGAAGGACCACCAAAATATGATGAAGAGAGACTGCCGGTCGAATTGGTAATGCCGAAATCGGCTGAAGAACCACCGAGATATGATGTAGAGAGAACGCAGGTTGAATTAGTAATGCCAAAATCGGCTGAAGAATCACCAAGATTTGATGTGGAGAGAACGCCGGTTAAGTCGGTAATGCCAAAATCAGCTGAAGAACCGCTGAGATATGATGTCGAGAGAACGCCGGTTGAATCGGTAATGCCAAAATCAGCTGAAGAACCGCTGCAATATGCTGTCGAGAGAACACCGGTTGAATCGGTAATGCCAAAATCAGCTGAAGAACTGCTGCAATATGCTGTCGAGAGAACACCGGTTGAATCGGTAATGCTGAAATCAGCAGACGAACCACAGAGATATGATGTAGAGAGAACACCGGTCGAATCGGTAATGCCAAATGAAGATAACGGTAGTAGTGGGAATAATAATGTTTCTGAAGATTTGGGGAAGGTGAAGAAGCCCAAGAAAATAGTGAGTGCAGGCCTGGCGGTAGAGTCAGTTTTGCAAACAAAAACTGGTCATCTAAAGGAGCATTACAGCTTGGGGAGGAAACTTGGACATGGGCAGTTTGGGACAACTTTTCTGTGTGTAGAGAAGTCAACTGGAAAAGAGTATGCCTGCAAATCCATAGCAAAAAGGAAATTGGCGACGATGGAAGACGTCGAGGATGTGAGGAGGGAGATTCAGATAATGCATCATTTGGTCGGTATCCCCAGCATTGTTTCCATTAAAGGGGCTTATGAGGATGCTGTTGCTGTACATGTGGTCATGGAGCTTTGTGAAGGGGGTGAGCTTTTTGATAGGATCGTCAAGCGGGGTCATTACTCAGAAAGACAAGCAGCCGAGCTTGCTAGAACTATAGTAGGTGTGATAGAAGCTTGCCATTCTCTAGGAGTCATGCACCGTGACCTAAAACCAGAGAATTTCCTTTTCGTTGATGGACGGGAGGACTCACCCTTGAAAGCTATAGATTTCGGGCTATCCATCTTCTTCAAGCCAGGTATGGTGAAGACTAGTCAAATTCTTTAGCAATTCTTTTGTTCCTTTTTTAATTCTCAAGCATAATGACAAGCTTTCTACTTGAAAATAGTAAGCTCCCGATGAAAGCAGGAGACCCAATACAGTAGCATGAAGCTAAGAAAGAGATATAATCATTCTATTATGCAACTTCAAAGTGTGCCAATGAGGAAGCTTTCATTTGATTGTTTTTTTATGTATATTTACATGTTTAATTTGATAGAGATGACTTTACAGGGCAAATATTCAGTGATGTGGTTGGGAGTCCTTACTACGTTGCTCCTGAAGTTTTGTGCAAATTATATGGCCCAGAATCTGATGTTTGGAGTGCTGGTGTGATGCTTTACATACTTTTAAGTGGAGTGCCTCCATTTTGGGCAGGTAAAAAGACTGATATCTAACAATTGCAAATTTGCGACTGATTATTGAAAAATCCCAGAACTATGTTCTCACAACTCTATTTATTTAGGTTCCTTTTCACTATTTTCTCACAACTCTATTTATTTATGTTCCTTTTCACTATTTCAAAACAGAAAGCGAGCAAGAGATCTTTGATGAAGTTTTACATGGAGAACTTGACTTCACATTAGAACCGTGGCCGAGTATTTCTGAAAGTGCCAAAGATTTGGTGCGGAAGATGCTAGTTAGACACCCCAAAGAGCGGATAACTGCTCATGAAGTTCTATGTAA